TGGTCGTGCGCGTGGTGGTGCACCGGGTGGTGGTTCTGGAGGCGGGCCCTGTCAGTACCAGATCCAGACCGGTCCTCGCCGCGGTTTCGTTTGCGGTAAGATCGGTCATTCTACTCCTCGCTGTTTTCGTCGCCTGGACGACCTGTTCCGCCAGCGCTTTGGCCCGGCGCCCGACCTCCCGGACTGGCACAGCTTGCTTAGGCGTAGCATTAGGATTTTTGACTTGGACATGGATGCCATTGTAGCGGCCTTGCATGTGATGTATGCTGATGACTCTAGTGTGCTTCCCTCTTATTACCCCGTGTTTGCTCAGTGTAGCGGTGCCTAGCGTAGACTCCCCTGCTGCGTCAGGCGTAGGATCTCCTGCTTTGCTTAGCCTTGGTGCTTCCACCGCTTCACTGCTGCCTCGCGCGACTGCTGCGCTTTCCTTCACCTTGGACTCTGGCGCCTCCCGGTGTTTCTTCCGCGACTCCACGACGCTGACGCCGCTGCCTGTTCCCGCTGCAGTTACTCTTGCTGACCCCTCCGGTGGTCCCGTCGTTGCCCGCAGTTCCACCTCCCTTCCCTGTCCGGCGGTTCCTTCGGGCACTCTCACAGGTCTGCATATCCCCTCGTTCTCCAGGAACCTAGTTGGTGTCGGCTGCCTCCAGGACCTTGGCGTCACCACTACGTTCCCTGGTCACGAGCGGTATGCTGTCTGTACCGAGGCCGCCACTGGTGCCCCCCTTACCACTTTCCCCCGGGACCCGGTGTCCGGCCTGTTCACACTTGACACCGCGCCGTCCCCGGCTGGGTCTTCCCCCCCGGTAGTTGCGTCCACCCAGGTTGCAGCCGCGTGCTCCTGTCGGTCCCTCACTCACCCGACTCTCCTTTGGCACCACCGCCTTGGTCACCCTGCACTCCCACGTCTGCGTCACATGTCCCAGCACGGTCTCGTCCTTGGTCTCCCCGGTTCGTTCCCCGAGTTTCCCTCCTCCCCCGCCCCACCGTGCACGCCTTGTGTCGAGGGCCGGCTCCGCCGTGCCCCTCACTCCTCCTCTTTTCCCCCTACCACCACACCACTGCAGACTCTGCACATGGACGTCTGGGGCCCAGCCCCGGTCCATGGGCCGCGTCGCGAGCGCTTCTTCCTAGTGCTTGTCGACGACTTCACGCGCTACACCACCGTCTTCCCCCTGGAGCGGAAGGCCGACGTGCCTGACGTTCTCATCCCCTGGCTTGTCTCTGCTCGTGTCCACCGCGGTCTCCCTGCCTTGCGCCTTCACTCCGACCGGGGTGGCGAGTTTGCCTCAGGTGTCCTTGGTCGCTTCTGTCGTGCGGAGGGCATCACCCAGACGTTTACCCTGCCGGACTCCCCGCAGCAGAATGGGGTCGCTGAGCGACGCATCGGTTTGGTCATGGAGGTGGCTCGCACCTCCATGATCCACGCCGGTGCACCCCATTTTCTGTGGCCGTTCGCCGTGCGCTACGCCGCTCACCAGCTTAACCTGTGGCCGCACCCCCAGCGGCCGCAGGTTTCGCCGACCCTTCTGTGGACCGGGTCCCCTGGTGACGCGTCTGCGTTCCGCGTCTGGGGCTGCCTTGCTCACGTTCGTGCCTCTGGCACGGACAAGCTCACTGCCCGCACCCTCCCCTGCGTCTTCCTCGGTTTCCCCCTTGACGCGTCCGACTGGCACTTCTACCACCCGCCGTCTCACCGCTTCTTTCACTCTCGAGACGTCACCTTTGACGAGTCCGTCTCCTTCTACCGCCGCTTTCCCCACCGTGGTCCCCCGGTTACTCCCCCCCTTTTCCTGGTTCCTCCCTCCCTGGTGGTCCCTGCCCCTCCCCCCCCCCGCCCCCCCGTCCGGCCCCCTCTGGTGTGTCTCACGTCACCCCCCTCCCGTCGGTCGTCCCGGTCGACGAGTCTTCTGACTCTGGTAGTCCTCCGGCGCAGTCCTCGCCGTCTGTCCCTCCCCCGGTGTCTCCTCCTCCACCACCTCCGCAGCCGCCGTCGCCGCAGCTGCTGCAGCCGTCGTCTCCACCGCCGCCGCCGTTGCAGCCGTCGTCTCCGCCGCCGCCGCCGTCGCAGCCGTCGCTGCAGCCGCCGCCGCCGCCGCCGCTGTCGTCGCTGCCGCCGTTTGTGGACTCTGGGGGTGTCCCTTCTGGGGGTGCAGGTGTGGAGGGTTCGGGAGGTAGCCGTCGCGCAGCTTGTGGCCCTGGTGTTGGTGTTGTGTCGCCGCAGCAGCAGTCCCCGCCTGTGTCCGCCCTCCGTCTGCTCGGCCTTCCGTCTCCTGACCCTGCGCCTGTTCCTCTCCTGCCGTCTCCCCCTCTTCCCGTCTACGGCCCCGTGTTCCCTCTGCCAGACTCGTCCCCGGCTCGTCTTCCCCCTCGTTCCCCTCCTGTGTCCCCTCCTCTGTCTCCTGACCCGACGCCGCCCTCACACGTCTGGTCTCGCCGCCCCTCTCGTGCTCGTCCTGTCTCCCCTGTCCCGCGCTCTCACCCTATGTTGCTCTGTTCCCACGCGTCTCGACCTCCCCTCCTCCCGTCTCCTCCTCCGTCTTCTCTTGTCGTTGCGTCTCCTCCTCTGTCCGACTCCTTTCGTGCCGCTCGTCCTCTTGTTCCTCGGGTCCTTGCCTCTCTCGTTACCGACCCGTCTGTTCCCGTGTCGAGTCTTAACGCCCTCGTCGCTGCGGTCGCTGACTTCGCCTCTACCCGCCGCCTTGACTACGCCACCGCTCTGGTCTCTGACCCTGCCTGTCCTCCGTCTGTCGGGGGTGCTCCTGCCCTCGGCAGTGACGTCCTGGAGGACCGCCAGTTTGAGCTTGCTTTCCTGTCCGAGGCTGCTCCCCATCTCTGTTCCATGCTGCTAGTCCCTGAGGGTGACCCAGACGCTTTCGACATCCCGACCCCTCGTACTTACGCTGAGGCGGTTTCGGGACCCTGGGCCTCTCAGTGGATAGCTGCCATGGAGCAGGAGATGGCATCTTGGAGATCCACCGGCACCTTCGTCGACGCAGTTCCCCCACCTAGGGTGAACGTGGTCGATGGCCGTTGGCTCTTCAAGGTGAAGCGCCCTCCTGGAGAGCCGCCTGTGTTCAAGGCGCGCTACGTGGCTAGAGGCTTCAGTCAGCGCGAGGGGGTGGACTTCTTTCAGACTTTCGCTCCTACCCCGAAGATGACTACTCTTCGGGTGCTGCTACACGTAGCGGCTCAGCGTGACTACGAGCTTCACTCCCTCGACTTCTCCACTGCCTTCCTTCAGGGCAGCCTTCACGAGCAGGTCTACCTGCGTCGCCCTCAGGGCTTTACTGGCACCTTCCCCCCTGGGACCCAGTGGCTTCTGCGGCGGCCAGTCTACGGCCTGCGCCAGGCGCCTCGTGAGTGGCACGACACTTTGCGTGCTACCCTTGCTGACCTGCAGTTCTTTCCGTCCTCTGCAGACCCCTCGCTCTTCGTTCGTGCTGGCTCGACTCTGTTCTACATCCTCGTCTACGTAGACGACCTGGTCTTTGCCACTGCTGACAGGGACGCACTGGCCTCCGTGAAGGCAGAGCTGCTGAAGAGACACACCTGCACTGACCTTGGAGAGCTGCGCCGTTACCTTGGCTTGCAGATCTCCAGGGACAGAGCCGCGCGTACCATCACCCTGACTCAGTCACACTTGGTGCGCCAGGTCCTTCAGAGGTTCGGCCTTCAGTTCTCCTCCGCACAGCCCACCCCTCTTCCTCTGGACCACAGACTCTCCGCTCCAGTTCCTGAGGAGTCGGTAGATCCCAGTGGTCCTTACGCTGAGCTAGTGGGTTGCCTCATGTACCTGATGACTTGCACTCGCCCAGATCTCGCATACCCTCTCAGCATCCTGGCTCGTTTCGTGGCCACAGGCAGGCACCGACCTCAGCACTGGTCTGCCGCTAAGAGGGTTTTGCGTTATCTTGCAAGTACATCGGGCATGGGGTTAGTGCTAGGCGGACGCAGGCCAGTGGTCCTTACTGGACACACAGACGCTTCTTGGGCAGACGACGCCGAGACGCTCAGGTCTTCCCAGGGCTACTGCTTTAGCCTTGGTTCAGGTGCTGTCTCGTGGAGAGCTACCCGCTCTTCGTCTGTTGCCCAGTCCAGCTGTGAGGCCGAGATCTACGCCGGTGCCATGGCGGCACAGGAGCTCCGCTGGCTGACCTTCTTGCTCACTGACTTAGGTGAGCGGCCTAGCTCTGCCCCGGTCCTGTACGCTGACAACAGGGCCATGATCCTCCTGTGTCAGGAGCCTCGACTCGAGGGCAGAGCGAAGCACATCCAGCTGCGGTACTTCCTCCTGCGTGAGCTACAGCAGCGTCGCCAGGCTCGCGTAGTACACTTAGCCTCCGGTGCCAACACAGCTGATATCTTTACGAAGGCGCTTGCGCCTAAAGATCATCAGCGGCACAGTGTACAGCTTGGTCTGGTTCCTGTAGTCTCTCACTTACTCGGGCCTTGACTCTGTACTGTCCTATATATATCTGTGTGTACACTCAGACTGGACTTGTGTCCTCTTACAGTGGTTGGACTAGTAGTGCCGCCCTGTACTAGTTCTTGTCTTGCCTGTACTCCTTCTGACTGGTCTTTTAGACCCTTGTCTCAGAGGCTGGACTAGTAGTGCCACCCTGAGCTGCTTGTCTAGAACATTCCCCTATGCAGTCCAGGGGGTGTGTCAAACATGTTTAGTTATCATGCTTGTATAGACTGTATAGGGTCATCTTCTAGAGAGTACAACAGTTAGGTATATGTTTGTGTACTCTCTCTCTCTATTCATAAATTTCACTGTTTGATAAGAACAAGGGAGATATAGGGTTTGAGTAGAACTCTCTAAGAACACACACCTATTCTAGCCTATAACTTATACATGCAAATGTATGTATAAGTTGACAGATTATCCCTGCCATTAAAGTGAGTACTTTCGCTCAACAAGCTAGTCTATGGCCAATTATGGCTTGTTCCCAGTCAGAGTACAAGAGAGATCGATGCGCAAGTTCTGAAAAGAACAATAGGAATGCCATGAGGTCCAACAAATTGAAAACGGACAAATGCAAGAGACTTTCCTTCCATTACTTACATCAAACTCTACTCTTACCACCCCAAATTTTCACGAGCACAATGAGTGCTAACGAACAATCAGGTCGAAAACGCTAAGGGAGTCACTCCCGCCCAGGAAACTGAAAACGCTGTGCACACTACCAGGCCTCGACCTTGGCCCGCTATCATGCTTGTCACCGTGCTCCCTGAACGAAAAACAACTGAGACTTCTGCCAGCTGCAGTCTTCACAGTCCCATCAAGGAATTCCCCCGCAGCGACATCATCCCACAGGCACGACGCAACTCGTTTCAGTGGAAAATACCCTCTGTGAGACCCTTGGCCATCCAGACTGCCACACTCCCCTGAGGAACCCCAGGACTGGCTCCCATTCCCTGCTTCCAGCCAAGGCGCCTCCTCAAGAAGAAGATCCTGGAATGAGGAATCGGCATTCGTAAGGCCAGGCGGAAAAGCCGGAAGAAAGTCCCCAACAGCAGCAATTCCAGCAGGCTCAGGGATGCAAAAGTCAGCACCGCACAGCTGCTCCAAATCTGCAGGCACTGCCTCAAAAAACCCCATGCTGGGGGGGGAACAGCCTGCAGAGGGCGTTGCCTCTTCAGTGGGCGTCAGACAGACCCTCTTTGCGTGCGGCCAGCCTGCATCCAGAAGTTGGCCGAATTTCCCACCTTCGGCCATAAGCGCTTCGTAGGAGCTGAAGAGGAGGGATGAAACGGCAGGAGCGTCTGGCAGGGCGGCAGCCGACTCCCCACTGCTCTGCGGCAGGAGATTTGTACCCGACGTGGCAGCAGCAGCAGCAGCAGCAGCAGGAGCGGCAGCAGCAGCAGGAGCAGCAGCAGCAGCAGCCGCATCCGATCCCAGATTGGTACGGGTGCGAATAGCTTGAGAAGCGTGAGTAGCAGCGCCTCCATTCGAAGCGGATTCAGCAGGGGAGCGATCGTCGCTAGGGAGCGAGGCCAGCGTGATGCTGTTGATGCTGCTCATACCGCCAAGGCTCCACGAGCTCGACTCCGCGGCGTTGAGGGAGCAGCCCTGCACGATGTTGTTATCGCCAGAGCGGTTGAGAGGAGTCGGGTGGTTGTGAGAGCGGTTGGGGTAGTTGGTTCGTGTGGTGGAAGTTGAGATGGGAAGGCGGCGGTCGTAGTCGACTGTCTTCTTGGCCGGGCAGGCGGGCTTGCTCTTGGAGCAGTAGCACTTGTAGTAGCACCTGCAGCAGCCATGAAATCCCAGCCAAAACAGCCAAAGGCAGCCAATTAGACATGCTGAAACACGCTGCTATCGCGTAATCTAGTAATGCAGCCCTGAAAAAAGGAAAGTCCTGCTACTACCAGTGGAACTGATCGTCCCACTTTGACAAATACGACTCGGTGAGAGTCGTGCGCGAGAATAAGGTTCGAGCATTGCTCGAGGGGCCAGCTTACCGTATGGTGTGGCTGTTGTGCATGTTCTTCTGCCCGTACTTGAGCCACAGGTACCCGTCGGCGCGCACGATATCCTGCATGTTTTCCTCCATCGCTGACGACGCCGGCGCTCCCCCAGAAGGCGCCATGAATGGCGTGAGCGTGTCCCGAGGTGGCGATCCGGACGTGGCTTTGGCGTCAGCGCGCGCGATCATATCATGCACGTTCGCTTCCATCGCCGACGACGCCGGCCCCAGCGGCGGCTGGGAACGACACGCAGGGCGTGTTACAGATGAAATGGTTTCGAATCGGAACTGGCGAGTTAAAACTCCGAGGTTCCCGCCGGAAACAATTATAGCCTGAGGCCAGAAGGAGTAGTTCGCCTGCCGAAAGGTAAAATATAATCGTAAATCGCGGTTCTAGAATGGACTCCTTGAGTCAAGCGGGAGGCGAATCCTTTTAAGGTTCTGCCGGGAGTCCTGGGATGTGGGGAGTATCGCCGGGGGTATTGCCGCTGGGAGTATCGCCAAGTCCAGAGAGATAACGCGTGAAGCGTTCTGTTGTGTGCACTGAGGAGGTACTGTAAGCGAGAGCTGTGCGAACCGTATCGGCACGACAAGACTCGGAAGCATGAAGAAAAGAAGCTCCAAGCTCGACTAGGAAAGGAGTATTTTATCTCTAGATTCTCCATAGCGGTCATACCAACTCGCGGACGGCCGTTCACGGGAAGGGTAAAATGCGGCCGCTGAAAAACAAATACACGTGGCAGCAAAGCCAATGCTAAATCGTGCGGAGGTACTGTGGTGTGGCGGACAACGCTTCACTGAAGTAACCAGCTACTAACCAGCTACTGTAGTACCCTTGTTGCCCGACTCAGTGACATCTCGGTTCACTCACAAAAGCTTCCCGCATCACTTCTGTTTCTAGCATGGGCAACCGCATCCCCGTTTCTAGGACATGGCCCGCACTTTTCTCAGAGAAGACAACGGCAACAGTGGAACTTGCGAGCCATGACAGCATGGCATATTTCGTCCGCCGGGTATTCGGGAAACTATAAATTCAGAAAGTACAAGTTTAGCCCCCGGGTATTTTGAAAAATACAAACTTAGCCCCCCGTCGCAATCCGAGTATGCCAAAGCGGTAACATTCCAACACACTTACAATCCCAATCTTCCCGTGGTGAGGTGTGCGAAGTGTCGGGGACGCTTTCAGTCCCAGCCGACCAAAAACATGGAGAGACTGACTCGGGCAACAAGGGTACTCCAGCGTGAGAGCTGGGGTTTGGGCAAGCTCTCCAGCTCAAAACTGTGCAAAGAGTGTTCTGTAGGGTGCAGTCGAATAACACCATTGTACAGAGTGGTGAAGGCAAGATACACGCCAAACACTTGTGTCAAGGAGTCCTGCCTCTTTTATGGACACACTGCTGACTGTCGACCCACTAGTCCCACGTAACCCTGCGTTGCTGTCGATTGGGAAACTGGCAAAAAGTGTTAGGCGGGGGAGTGGCCAAAAGTCGCATGAGCTACCAAGATGTTCTGCAGAGGGAGGCGAGGTAAGGATGGAACCGTCTTCTGTTCTGCTCTGTTCCTGGTCAGGTTGATCAAGAAAATCAGTTGCTACCCGTTGCAACCAGGCCTCTCGCTACAGCTTGAGCCCGAGAGAGGAACGCCACTTTTTCGAGCCGCGGGGGCTTCTGTCGATTTGGTATTTCACTGGCTTTCGCTGCTAGAAGCGAGGGATTCAAGGTGAGCTCGTTGGTAACTTTTTTTGTCGCAATAGGGGAAGGTTGGGTGGCAGAGTTCAGATTGCGTATGTAACCACGGTTATGCTGTTTTGCACTGCGAAGATCAGAAACAACCCCAAGTGTTGTTTAATTAGCTCAACCAATAGGTCACGAACATGACATTTGCTCACAATTTGTGCGGCTTCGATAAGTGTGCAGTTGTTTCGACTGAATAGGGCTCTAGTTCAGTCAGTTGCCAAGGGGTCATGCCATGCTGAGTCATCGAGGCGTTTCCCGTTTGCGGTGTTCCGTAGATTTCCATTGCGCTCGTGTCCTTCGCGGCTTCGCGAAAAACGCGAAAGGTCATTTGGGCCTGGACGAACCGCCCTCGTGACGCCTTCCGAAAATATGTGGCGAAAACCAGAAGGCTACAGCTGCTTCGTCGCTGTCCGCATGTTCATCCCCGCTGTCATGATGACTCAGCACAGTAGCCGGCGCGGGGGACTCTCTTGAAACGGATATTGCCCGTAAACTGCTGCTATTGGGCGAGGGGGTGCAATTGGGATTTGTTTTGGGCAGGACACTTTGCGGGCATCGTTTGTATAAAGGTAACTACCCTTAATGCCATGAAATTAAGAGTTAATTTTCATTGGATTCCATTTTTGTTTACGAGTTAAAATCTCCTGATTCAGTCCACATAACAGATTGGATGGCATGTGATTACGTTCTTTGGATTACGTTCCTCCTGTATTGAACACCCGCTTCCCCCCACTACTCCCCTTGAGTTCCTCGCCAAGAGTGCACTGTCTTTCCACCTGCTGTTTTGTAGACAGCCGAGCAGAAAAAAAAATCCACTCTCCCGACTTTCAAAGGCGCAGCACTCCTTGAATCTTACCTCTCCTCTTTCTGAGCCTTCGCGAAGGCTCTCAATCTGTGAGGACGGTAGTATATCACGAAGGGTAGCTCGTCATCGAATCTGTATGCTAATGTGTAAGTTTTTGTAGATTCCGCCCGTTAACAGGTAATTCTGGTTCGATTCCGTCCCCTAACGGAATCCCCTAACGGCTTAGCGAGAGGCCTGGTTGCAACCGTTGCTGCCCCGGGAAGAGCTTGTTTACAGCCGATTTTCACTGTACGCACACTTCTTCGCAAGATTGCGAAGGCCATTGTCCAATTCGTTATTTCGCATGCTTCGCCACGGGCAAATGAGTCGCAAACCGGCATTTTGTCATAAGATATTTCAGAAGTCGGAATTCTGGTCAATTATCACATGCATCTGTATAGTCGCCTCTTTCAATGCTCAATTAAATAGTTTCTCGTGCCGGCTGTTGGGATTCTGACGAAACGAATACTGCCCGTAAAACAAGGCGAATGGGAAAGCTAAACCTATTGCGATTAGCTACGGGCAGCGCGTACGGTGGACACCATTTGTACACGATCCTCTTGTGATCGAGAGACAACTTGAGGTTAGCTCTGGTTGGGTAGAAATTTCGGTCGGCTGCACGCGCATTGGATATCGCTGAATTGGAGGAAATCTGTGGTTTTCGTGTCCCCATGATGGATTTCCCCTAATTTATCTGAAGGGAAGTGGGTGTTCCGTTGAGTAAGGTCAAATCACGCCATGCGGTAATGCAACTCTCTCAACTCAACGTGTGCGACAAAAGAATGCCAGCCCGGACTAGGGCTCTCGCTAAGCCAAGGGTATTTCGAAAATACCCGTTAGCGGACGGAATCGCCAAACGTTTACCCGTTAGCATACGGATTCGTCGAAGGCAAATGGCGATGGCCACGGTTAAGGAAAAGCCAGCGAAAACCCCGGGACTGTTTCTCGCGCATACCTCCCGGCAACAAACCTCGCGCTTTGCGTAGTGGAGGAATTTGAGAGTGTAGAGTGAAGGGTAGGAAAGGATTATACACCACTCCGAACAGATCGCCTACTGAAATTGCACTTCGAAAAGGATAGGAAAATTTACCCTGTTAGCCAGAGACTCTGCCCACAGACGTCCTCACTACTTGCCGACCTGTGCTCGAAAGCCGCCCCCCCCCCTCCCCCCCCCCCCCCCCCCACCCCCCCCCACCCCCCCCCAAACACACAAGTGAAGTGTACATTGTCCTGGCAGTTACACACTCTTGGGCCACATGCAGATGCATCCAGTCCATTACAGACGATGTCCGCAAAGTGCCCTGCCCAAAACAAATCCCAATTGCACCCCCTCGCCCAATAGCAGAAGTTTACGGGCAGTATCCGTTTCGAGAGAGTCCCCCGCGCCGGCTACTGTGCTGAGTCATCATGACAGCGGGGATGAACATGCGGACAGCGACGAAGCAGTTGCAGCCTTCTGGTTTTCGCCACATATTTTCGGACGGCGTCGCGAGGGCGGTTCGTCCGGACCCAAATGACATTTCGCGTTTTTCGCGAAGCCGCGAAGGACACGAGCGCAATGGAAATCTACGGAACACCGCAAACGGGAAACGCCTCGATGACTCAGCATAGCATGACCCCTTGGCAACTGACTGAACTAGAGCCCTATTCGGTCGAAACAACTGCCACTTATCGAAGCCGCACAAATTGTGAGCAGATGTCATGTTCGTGACCTATTGTTTGAGAAAATTAAACAGCACTCGGGGTTGTTTCTGATCGTCGCAGTGCAAAACGGCGTAACCGTGGTTACATACGCAATCTGAACTCTACCACCCAACCTTCCCCTATTGCGACAAAAAAGTTACCAACGAGCTCACCCTGAATCCCTCGCTTCTAACAGCGAAAGCCGGCGAAATACCAAATCGACAGAAGCCCCCGCGGCTCGAAAAAGTGGCGTTCCTCTCTCGGGCTCAGGCTGTAGTCCAGCCAGCCTCCGACTTGGCCAAAAACAACGGGCTGCATTTCGAAAGTCGGCTGCGTGCCACGGCCTGCCCGTTTATCTCTGCATTCTTTCTATGGGAATTCGTGGCTGTCAGTGGACGACGACACTCGGCGTCGCATGACCTCATAGGACACGATTCGTCGTCACATTACTGTACACCTGATTTCCTTTAAATTTGTATGTTCTTTTAAGACGGTCTCTCTTGTATTGGACGCGACCAACTCTCTACACAAATGGGCTTATACATTGGACCAGGGTTACTACATTGGCATCATTGCTGTAAAAACCGGTGGCATGCGCTGTTCTTGGTGTGAGTCTCAGTAACAGCATGCAGTACTACACCCAAATTCGGTCGGTCCCTGGTATGTTGACCTCTTTGCACAATTCTCGGAGGAGCAATCTTTACCTGAGACTGCGCCTGATTCGAGGGCCTGCACACCTCGAATCGTTGCCCCTAGAAATTTTCCAGTGGGACTGAAGATAGCTCGAGAGCCTCGGACGTATCAGCGATCCGTTAGCCATCAAGTGTACATCGCTTTGAAAAAGAAAGAAAAGAGAGAGAGAGAGAGAGAGAGAGAGAGAGAGAGAGAGAGAGAGAGAGAGAGAGAGAGAGAGAGAGAGAGAGAGAGAGAGAGAGAGAGAGAGAGAGAAGAGAGAGAGAGAGAGAGAGAGAGAGAGAGAGAGAGAGAGAGAGAGAGAGAGAGAGAGAGAGAGAGAGAGAGGGAGAGAGAGAGAGAGAGAGAGAGAGAGAGAGGGAGAGAGAGAGAGAGAGAGAGAGAGAGAGAGAGAGAGAGAGAGAGAGAGAGAGAGAGAGAGAGAGAGAAAAGGATACGGTAATGTGGTTCGTGGCAATAAATGGGGGTTTTGTGTGGTGTGCACTACCTTCATCGCCTTGCGTGTATATTAGCGTACCATTGTTCTAATAAGGATTATAGATGACTGCCAACTAATTCTTACACGATCCCACGTACCACATAAGAAACGCATCAAATACACTATACACTACGCATAGTGCATCCCCTCCCCCTCCTTCCCTCCTCCCCTCCCCCAAACCCCCCCCCCCCTCCCCCCCCTCCCCCCCCCCCCCCTCCTTGTTCGTGCACTCAAGCCTTCAAAGGAGTTGTGCAGGTGTAGCAATATTGTTGATATTACCCCCAAGTCACAGAGAATTTTAGAGAACCCAGACTCAACAACATTGAACATGGGTGGTGTGCTTTGCAACCAAATCCAGGCATTCCGCCCTTGAATGAAGCAGATGCGCTGCCTGCTCGTGCGAACTCATGCCCATGCATGCATTCGTGCCTTGTTGAGTGCTCAGGTTGCACTGCCTGCTAGGCCCTATGAGAGGTGCACTTGGCTATGGTGGCTGATGCTCGCGAGATGGCATCTCTCATGTAGAAATTGGGCACCTAGAATGAACAGGAGGTGAGAGGAGGGAGAAAGTGGGGTTCATATGAAGGGGGAATTGAATACAGGAGCAAGGGACGGAAGGTGCACTTGGCCATGGTCAGTGATGCTTGACAGATGGTGCCTATCATGTAGAAATTGTGCACTTAGTGAAGGCAGGAGGGAAAGCATGCCATAAAGTCACCATTCCTAACCACTGGGACAAAAAGGGATATCCTCAAAAGAGTTAGACTCTATATATTCACCTTCCCCAAGGAGAGCCTCCCTAGTACCCTCCCTAGAGAGAGAGGATGTTTGACAGGGCTATCTCAGTACCACAGCACACCCCTCCGCTGGGATAGCGTGTACACCAGGAATTGAACCCTGGATCGCTCTGATACCATGTCATAAAGTTACCAGGCCTAACCACTAGGACAAGAAGGGATGTCCTCAAGAGAGTTAGGCTCCATATATCCAGCTTTCCCAAGGAAAGCCTACATTGATAATGGAGGTCTGAACAAATAAGGACATCAGAAAAGTCTAGACAAATAAGAGGGAGCCTATGTAGGCATTCCATTGGCTGGAGAAGAGCAATAGAAACAGAAACGAAGTAGGGGAGCTTGATAATGAACCTGAGTAAGAGCTGTGCAAAGATAATGAGGCTGGTAGAGGGAGTTGAGTAGTTGTAGAGGGGGTGCTAGGGTTTCGTGAGTTGAAGGCTTGATGACGAGTTGGTTGGCATGCTCTGATTGGTTGGCGCATTGAGATTGATGATAAGATTCCCGAATGTGGGGTTAGGGTGCAAGTTTGCCTTGCACACTCTAGCTAGGAATAATTTCTATTCGAGAGGGATTGGGCCACCCAAGTTGGTTTCGGTGACATGGCTGTTTGGGTGCAAGCAATTGGTTGGCAAGTTTGGTTGATTGGGTTATTTCAAACTTGGAAGGCTAAACCTTAGGTTGGAGTTCATGAGTAACGAACTTGACGAAATTTGCAAAATTTGCGACACTAGCAATTTGTTTTCGCAAAGGATGGATGTACATCTCTCCACGCTCGTTTTCTGCTCGAAAGGGCCGTGACCCCAGAATTGCACTCATTTTGAACACATTTCGACCACATTTCAAGCGCGTACCATTTTAGGGCAGAAACCGAACACGAGCATTTTCTAGATGGATAAGTGAAGGACAAGCGACAAGAGGAAGGGAAAATGGGATGTAGCAAAGACGGCTAAGAGTGGGAAGTTCGGACGAGAGATGTATTGGTTCCATGGTAACTGATGCTCGCAAGATGACAAGTGTCCTGTAGAAATTGGGCACATGGGGGAGACAAAGGATAAGAGAAGGAAAAGAGACGATAGGAGGGGAAAAGGGAGTTTTGGGTCTTGGGGCAGCCTAAGTGGAAAAAACGAGGTGTAACAACTTGCCGACAGTTTTTTAGGGCACCTTGAAAAAGATGGAGAATAGAATGAGTAGGTCTGGTCTTCTGAGGGGGGCTTGAGAGCAGCCCCAGAAGGGAGCCGAAGCAATCAACTCACCGGCAGTTCAAAGGGCGCCCTGAGAGCAGCCCTACACCACGATTTGGTCGCTGACTGTGAGCGGGGCTTCCACCTCGTCGATGCAGGCAAAATGAGGCGCCACCTGATGAAAGGAAAGGGGTAAAGAAGGAAAGGGGGGTAGGGAGAAGAAGGGGAGGGGAAAGAGAGGAGGGGGGGGTAGGAAGAAGAAGGGCAAGGAAAGAAGAGGAAAGGGGGGCTAGGAAGAAGAAGGGTGGGGGAAGAAGAGGAGAGGGGGGGTAGGAAGAATAAGGGTGGGGGAAGAAGAGGAGAGGGGGGGTAGGAAGAATAACGGTGGGGGAAGAAGAGGAGAGGGGGGGGTTAGGAAGAATACGGGTGGGGGAAGAAGAGGAGAGGGGGGGTAGGAAGAATAAGGGTGGGGGAAGAAGAGGAGAGGGGGGGTAGGAAGAATAAGGGTGGGGGAAGAAGAGGAGAGGGGGGGTAGGAAGAATAAGGGTGGGGGAAGAAGAGGAGAGGGGGAGTAGGGAGAAGAAGGGCAGGCAACGTGGGGCGCTTAAGCTCCTCCTAATGCGTCCCACCCCAACCTGGACCATGCAGACAAGACGGGGCGCCACCTAATGCGTAAAGAAGAGGAGAGATGGGGAGAGGGGCGAGGAGCTTAGGCGTTGGGGACGAAAGGAGGTCCCATCCTATGGCATGCCTTGTCAATACGGGCAAAGATGAGGGGCGAGCTGATGGAGGCCAGATCCCCGGACATCTTCCAGGGATCACAGTAACATGAGTGGATTGAAACAATTAGGAAAGACAGTTCAAAACTAGCGAGCTTATGTAAAGATGAGGGGCGAGCTGACGGAAGCCAGAATCATAGGGCAAAGCCACTCCAGCCAAGTGGCTTACAATATCATAGGCCAAAGTGCGCAAGCCACTTAGCCCTTAAAATTCCACCACTCCCCTATGCCTCCCCCTTGCTTGTTTCAAGCCTCTGCTTGCACCTCTCCCTACCTCTTTCAGCCTTTACCTTACTTGCTCCACTCCATGATGTTATGCGGCATAATAACCCCCACCACTTCAGACATGGCTCGCACGATCTTCCAGTTGTCCCCCGCACCTCACAATCCCCTCTGACGATCGTTCTCCACCCCCCTACTACCTTCCCCCTTTCCCCTACCATTGCTACCTCTCGAAGCCTCTCCTTGACTTGCCCCATGGTGTCATAGGGTAGAGTCACCCCCGCTACATCAAACACGGCTTGCACGATCTTCCAGCCGTCCCTCGCACTCCACACCATCGCCATGGCTGCTTGTGTCATCTGCACCTGCCCCTCCGTGTTCACATATGTGGCTTCCCGTAGGGTGGGGTGATGAAAGTTGGGGAGAGGAGGAGAGGAAAAAGAGATGAGGAGAGCATGGAAGCAAGTGCATGTGTACAGCGAGAAGCAAGTGCAGCAAGAGGGAGTTAGGGGGAGGATGGGAGGGGGTAATACACCACCACGAATAGATCTCCTACTACAAGTGCACTTCGCACGGAATCAAAGAAAAGAAACCCGTACTATCAAGGAATCACAAGAACATTAACCCGTTAGGCAAATGGAATCAGGACACTATCACTACGCTGAAAAATGGAATCAGGTAAAAAAAACTCTTAATATCGCGACATTAAGGGTGATTACCCTGTTAGCCAGAGCCCTGCTCCTCACCCCACTGACCGCCTGAGGTGCGTCCGGAGAAATGACATGTCACGTTTGGCAGTGTCAAACCGGAGCGCGCCCATGTTTGGGTTAAACATTGTAGCTGCTGTGTCAAACCAAGTCGCGTGCATGAAATTTTGCGAAGGCTACTCATTGACCAGCACCGATTTGAAACGACGACCCTTCAGAAGTCAAGCTGCATCTACATTGTTGGCGGGGAAACTCTACCAATGCATGTCGAGGCATCATGCTGGCCTTTCGTTGATTGTGCGCGAGTAGTTGGTCAAGTATTTTGTAACGACGAATTTGGTTGGTTGGCGACAGCTTTACACTTCCATCACCTTGTGTTTCGACGAATTGTATTAGTAGTTACGTCCAGGTGGAATTGACACCTTGCAAACAATGTTGTCGAGAGTCAAATCGAATCGCGTAACCCTGCGAAATCATTTCTACGAACACAGCCTGAGAGACAATTATGGATTGTGTTACATTACCATGATTGCTAGTGAAGATACCAATAGAGCACAGATATCTCCAGCTTTGCGTGCTCCCTTTTCCGTGATTTATGGCCGATTCTCGTAGATTCACGAGGGCTCATTCAACCCCGCTCAACAAGCCTCCGAAGGAACCCGGCCACGGTCATTATTTTCTGTTGCGTACTGTCACAACTCTTGACGAATCCTTGCTTGTTACTTGTACTTGTATTTCATGTGTGAGCCATGCCAGTGTTTGGGTGTTGTTTCAATTTAGGCCCTAACGTCCAAGGACATTTATAACGAATGTTGCATCGATACTGTACGCTGGCCCCAACTTGAGGCTCGGCCCAACCATCCATTGAAGGCACACAGTTGGGTAAGAAGGGGGAGTTGGGGGGGGGGGGGGGGGGGGGGGGGGGGGGAGAGAAAGAAGGAGAAGAAATGCCGAGTACTCTTAATTTATTGCCATTCATTTAGAAGTGTTATTGACCCTGCTAACCCTAGCCTCTGGCGCAAGTGAGTTATGCCGTCTGGCATCGCTGAAGGTTGTTGTGCCGAGTTCCGTTCCAACGAAGCACCATTCATCCAGCTCTCATGTAAACCCTACTAGATTTCGTGCAAGGCTAGGTCTCGCATCACGTCTCGTCCCCTCGGTTCCGGGAACGGTTTAAAATGGCTAGATACGGCAAGAGAAGCGGATGATGAGGTATGGCGCGGTGAGTATTCTGGAGCTTTTACTAGAGCTTTTACTGTACAGAGTGGTGTTGTAACGCCTCCACTGCGCCACGAAACAACACTCGTTTTACTA